CCTACAATAGTCCCAATTCTCCAAAAAAATTTTTTTTTTTTAACTTTTACAATTTTTTCTACTTGATATATAAATTTCACACAAAAACAAACATTTATATATATATATATATACGGGTGCTATTCCTTTAAATCATGACTTTCATCAATTTCTTTTATTATTACATTCTTATCAATTTTTTTTCTCACCAATTTCACCGGAAATTTTTGCGATACAGGTATTTTCTCCCTTTCTAAATTTGAATCCTTACATATTTCCTCATTATTCACATAACCTTTTTTTAATTTTAATTCCTCTGAAATTCCTTTATTTTCGTCTTCAAAAACCGATTCCTTACCCCATATTTCTACAAAATTAACAATTTCTGTACTCACCAAATTATCATCATTTTCCAAATTAATAACCTTCCCAAATTCCTGATTATTTATTATATTTATTTCACAATTTTCATCTGAAACATCAGGCTTCTCCTGACATATTTCATCCTTAAAAATTTCCACATTTTCCCGAAGTTTTTCGAAATTACTTACCAAATTTTTAATTTTATCCCGTTTCACTAACTTATCCTCCAACATTTCTTTTTTATTACTATCATTAATTTCCTGATTATTAAACTTTACATTTTTCACTTTAATTTTCTCAATAATCACATTTTTTTTTATTTTATTTTTCATTTTGATACCCCTTTCTTTCATAGCTATCTCTGGTATTCTAATTCTTTCATCATTTTTATTTTTCCCTTGAAACATATTCCAAAAATTATTTTCTAACCCAAACTTTGATATCCAAGACCATCCCATAATAGCACCAATTTTTTCTTTTAATATCCACAAATCCAAATATATTATTTCTTCATTTACAAAAACCGGTAAATTTACCCTTCCCATTACCATAACTATCCATTTAATTGTTTTATTCTCATTTTATCTTTAATTATAAATTTATTTGGCCATAATTCTTGAAATTCATCAAACCCCATAACCGAAATTGTTGCCCCTGTGTCCAATAACATCCATATTTATTTATTCTCTATATTAATTTTAACCCATGGTCGTTGATCATAATTCCTACTATCCTTCAAATTAAAGATAGGTAAATTACTTATTTGATTTTCTTGATTTAAATCCTCCAATATATTTTTACAAAACCCATTATTTTTATTCCCATTTATTTTCATTTCCACTTTTACTTCATCATCATTTATTAAATTTACTTCATGATCCACTGTATTCTTTGATGACACTCCTCCTGATATATTTACTTTACTATCATACAGTCATTCTACTGTACAATCCTTCGCATAATGCCCAATATTTCGACACTTATAACAAGTTATATCCTCTCTATTAATTCTTACTATATTTTTCTGCTCATTTCCTACGTATTCCACCGCTGGAAACGCTTTGCAAACACCTCGTTCATTTTTATAACATTTATAGTATGTCCTAAATTCTCACAATTTTCACAAGATATCTCATTTTTTTGGTTCCCATTCACCAATTTGTACCCTGGAACGTAACATTCTTCCCTATTATGACCCTTATTTCCACATCTTTTACATATTTTCAGTACTACTCCTGTATTTACCTTGACATTGCATTCTCTGCTTAAATGCCCAAATTTTCCACAATTATAACATTCTTTTTGACTTTTATAATTTTGTTCTATTCTTTTATTTACATTTTTTTCTTCCAATTCCTTTATTTTCATTTTTATTTCCGCTATTTCTATTTCTAGTATTTCTCTTTAATTCCATTTCCTCTCTTTTCTTTAATTCTATTTCTTCTATTTTCTTTTTTTCCGCTTCCCATTCTTCTCTCATATCCTTTTTTAATTTTTCAATTTCTATTTCTCTCCTTTTCTGTTCTATTCTTTTAATTTCTGTCATTTCCATTTTCAACTTTTTAATCTCTATTTCTTTTTTTTCTTGTTCTATTCTTTTAATTTCGTCATTTTCATTTTCCTTTTTTTTAATTTCAATTTCCATTTCTCTATTTTCCTGTTCAATCTGCTTTACACACCTTATTCTATTCAATTCTTTATTTTTATTTCTTTTATAACATAAATATCCTCCAATCCATAACATTATTAATACAACTCACATATATCTCTCCCATTGCCAACTCTTTTAATTCAAAATAATTCTTAGTGGTAATTATTTTTTTAAAATTTTTAACTATTTTTTTTTAAATTTCAATTTTTTATATTATAGTAAGCTTATTAGTAATTTTACTAAAAAAATTTTAACTATTCTAAAAGAAAAAACATAAACTATAGCTATAATTATTAATATTATAAAAAAACAATTCATATTATAAAAAAACAATTCATATAAACTTATCTAAAAAAATATTTTTACCTTTTTTTCGAATTTTTTTTTTATACTTTTTAAATAATTTTCGGCCTTTAATCTATACAATGGTAGTCAATGGTGTTCCGCCAGGTATTTTTAAATATGAACGGCACCAAACTATAGTGATCGATCAGTATAAGACAAATTTTTTATTTTCAATTATTTTATTTTTCTTTCTTTATTTAATTTCAGACAAAATATATATTATCTTTTTTTTAAAATCGCGGAAGAAAAAAACATGAACAAACTATATATTAAAACTATAATATTAAAATCTATAATCAAAATCGCGAGCGAAAATATATAAAAAAAATCATCTCAAAAATCAATATTATCAAATCAATATATATTTTTCTTTACACTTTTCATCAATAACCTAATTTCAACACAAAAATCAATACATTTTTATATCATATTACAACAATATGTACTAAGTCTACACTTTGGAAATGTAAATTATATCCCAACACACATATTTCAACCTCAATGTCCAGCAGTTCAAACTTAAAAAAGCATTTTAATGTAAAAAGATAAATTTTCTTTATTGGTTTTAAATATATTTCAAATTGGGCCCAGAGAAGGGTTAAATCATCTTCATCTGAAGAAGTAAGTACTACTTAAAATAAATTATAAGAATAATAATATCATTATTAACATTACTTTGAATTTTGATTGAATATTAATTTTGACAGAAAATTTAACGAGAATTTAAAAAATGAAGGCAGTGGTTGATTTGAATTAAAACTCGGCTTAAATTATTTATATTAAGAATTAAAATATAAATAAAAGTAATTATATAATACAATAAAATGTGTTTTTCTTTTTGTTGATATTTTTTAAGAAAAAATATAAAGTAACGTTTTGCGTTACCATTACTCAGAAAAAGAAACGCGTTACCGTTACTCGTTACCTCTAGAAGGAGTTAATGAATGGTGTTACTTTTTTGACGTTATTTCACAGCACTACTAAATAATGATATTTTATTTCTAAATTACTTTCTTTTATGTTATTTTTTTAATTATATATTTTTTTTAAAAAAAACATATTAATTTAGATTATTCTAGAACATCCGCAATCTATAAAATCTTTTTTATGAATAAAAAATAAGAAAAAAATAAATAACTTAAAAACAATTGTTACTTGAACCTAATTTTTTAAATTTATATTGATTTAATAAACATATGTAGTTGTGCAAAATTGCTCCATTTTAGCCGATTTTTAAAAAACGGCTAACTTTTTTTATCCAGAAAAATATTACACAAGCCTGAAATTTTTGCTCTGGGCATCTATTATGAAATCTCGAGGCTTAGGGAATATTTATTTAGCTAAAATATTGAATTAGCCGTTTTTAAAATTCGGCTCAAATGAAGCAATTTTGCATCATAAAACATGCCAATTTTTAGAAAATTTTATGCACTTACATATTAAATATTCTACTTTTTTAGAATGAAAAAACTCCTTAATTTTTTTTTTAAAAAAATAAATTATTTATTAAGAAAGGGATTCAGGCTATTTAATAATATCAACTATAGCTTTCCTTCATTTATATTTTTGAGTTATATTTTTCCGAATTAGGAAGAACGCCATTTTTTCGCTTTGACCTGCTATATCTCCGGAACTAATTGAGTTAGAGCTTAAAAAAATTAAATTATATAGGTCTTCATAACATATAATCATCATGCAAAGGTTTATTCGATTTGAAGAAAGTCAACGAAAATGGCCTAATAGGTAAAAATATTATATCTAAAAATTTTAAAAGGGGAAAATAAATAGAAGAGAAGAAAGAAAATAATATGAACGATTACACGAGGAGATTATTCTGAAAGAGATGAAGCTAGGATCCATTGATCGGAGAGTCAAAAATAGAAACGTACCTCTCCCACTTTGTAGTCATATTAGAAATCTGCAAAATCAATTTTCTCTGCTTTAGCCCGCTCGCAGCCCATTACCAATTTTTTTTAGATAATGGCCATTCCGCAGCCTAAATTTTTTTTTAAAAAAGAAGCTTATATGGAAGAATCAAACTCAAAATATTTAGTTTAATGTTATGCATTAATTTTAAATTTTCATATATAACATTGATTATTTTCGGGCTGGGCTGACGTGCTGCCTTTTGGGCTATCTTGAATAATATTACAGAAGAAAAGTCAACGCTTCTGGCAGCCATCGAAACAGAAATAGGCATCCTGGCCAAACTAAAATATGGGGGCCTCGTGAAGGTTTTTATTGTGACAAAAGATAGTAATAGCTATTCTTAAGGAAAATTATGTGGATAATAGAATTCTCTCCCACTTTTTTTTATATTATAATATGGATTTAATATTATATATTAATATGATTTGTTGTCATATTACCTGTTTCTCTTGTCTAATATTTTATATATATTTATATAACTGAGCTATGTAAAATTTTATATTTGTAATAATAATATTATTAAATCGTTAATAACTATAATTTTTAAACGATATTTATTCACCAACCCAAGAACCAATAATAAATTTCGTAATAAGACAAGCTTATTAAGTTGTGTAATTGTCTATTTTAGCCGATAAAGATACTATTATATCAAGATGAATTTAAACTAGCGCTATTGCTTTTAAAAAACCTCCCGATTACATAAATAATTTTTAAAATATTGCACAAAAAGACTAATAACGTGTTTCCTGTGATTGAAGAACTTCTGGTCTCGAACCGCGAACTCCTCGGCAGAGCAAGGGAACGGGCCGATCTTCTGGACCACGTACTAACTCGCGCAATTGACGCTAGGGGCTTAACAGACTCTGCTATGACCGAAGCCTTGGCTGCTAAAGACAGGGCTGCCATGGCCTTGACCACGGCGGAACTAACGCTCCATGAGGCTAGAGATACGCTCAAAACCTTGCAAGGTTTTATAAACTTATTTTTTCTTCTCTTGGTGAAAAAAATACTTTTTGCTGGTGTTAATACCTTATATGATATCCGTATGAGTATTGAGTTTTTTTTTCGGTAACATTTTTCAATTTATTATAAAATCAAATGGTTCTATCTTTTAGTCACATATTCGATTTTATATTCTTAGATTTTGACGGTGAGATTCAGACCCATAAAAAGACGGCCTCAATGGCCCTCGAACAAATACCAAAAATTAGGGCTTTGATAGAAGAAACAGAACATAAAAGGGTTGAAACTGAACAAAAACTTTTATCCACTCAAAGTGAGGTAGAAGCCGCTAAAGAACAGGCCTTAGAGGCTAAGGATATCATGGATACTATTAAAGATGTATGGAATACTTTTTTTGAATAATAATTAAGGCTAATATATCTAGTATTGAACTGAGGCTTTGCAAGCAATTTTATAAATAAGATGTCGGAATGCTTTTTTTATTGAATAATAATTAAGGCTACATATATTTAGTAATGAACTGAGACTTTACAAGCAATAATATAGATATTTACTATAATTTCGATTCACATTCTCTTTAAATTATTAAACATATTAAGTCTTTTACAAACCTGAATTATTACTGCAAAAATATTAATAAATTTGTTTAAATCTAAATATTTTATCTTATCAAATTATTGGGTGTTTGTACTAATATATAATTAGCAAGCTGGGATCTTACAAAGAGAAGTTGATATCATTTTACGACAATCAACTTTTTTAGTTCAGAAATCAAATCAATTGCGCGATAATATCACCCGTTTTGAACTTAGTTTAACTGAGTACGATGAAAAAGTCAACCCAGAGGCATCCTTAGCCACTGAAGTATGAAAAAAGAGAATGTTTCCTAGTCCAAAATAATACTTTTGTATCGATTAATAATGTTTTGATTTTTTAATAGGGATACTTTTAATTCAATCTATGCGTATTAAAAATTAATATAAATTCTAAAATTAATGAACGTTTATTTTATAACTCTTTGGTTTTTAGGCTGTTTTGAGAGCGGAGGAAGCCCAAAATAAAGCCTCGCTTAATTTGCATGGAGTAACCGAAGCCCTGGATATTTTAGCCGACATACAAGATCAATTGGGTATATTATATTTTTCATTCATTTGCCACCAAAAATTAAGGGCATACATTAAAAAAATTGGTATATTATATATACTAAAGTTTTTAATATTTTTGAATAAAATAAAGCCTTTTAGTGTTTTCTACCAATTACTTAAAAATAGGCATTGGATTTTGGATTCCATATTTAATGCTCATCCTTTAAAAAGAAAACTTAGGTGTAGTTGACAAGGAACAACTATCTTTATTGGGATTGGAATTGGAGAGAGTTGTAAAAGAAGTCGAGCAAATAGATCTTGACTCCCGCCTAAATCAATTGAAACAAGCTGAGAAGACACAAATTGTTAACCTTTTAGCTTATACGGCACGCGTTTCTCACCTTAAAAACGAAGTTCAAAATATCGAGGCTATTCATCAGTCGTTACCAGAGGGTTGCTTTAAAGTGCTTAAGCTGGAACCTTGAAATATGAAATCAAATTTTATTTAACTACTGCCCATATAAATTTTTTGTATAGGAGGGAATGTATATATCTTTTTTAATAGTTATTTTTGTTATTTGTTATAACAATTCTTATTATTTTTTATATAGAATTGTAACTTTTAAATATTTTTTTTATCTTTTGAATCTCAAATATAAATTTTTTTTATTTTGAATCTCAATTGTAATTAATATTTTATTAAATATCTAAAATAAATTTTGTTTTTTTGATGAAAGAAACCCAAATATTTACAAACTTATAAAATCGAAAATTTAGAGTGGCAGTTTCCTTAATATTTAATTTAAAATGTTTTCTATTACAAAAATTATAGGGTTATTTATATAAATATGTCAATATTTTAGTCTATAACACAAACTAATGCTCATGCTGCTAATCTATTAGCACACTACTACAACTACTTATTCAAAAATTATCACAGATTTTTAATTGAAGCTTACCACTTCGAAATCTTAAAAATATAGATATTTGGTTCTCAAATTATATCTTATGGGTTGGGCAGCATCGCAAATACTTGTATCTTAAATACTTTTTTAAATGAGCCTTTGTATCCTTAACTATTTATTATGTAATATAATAGATACAGATACTATTAATTTTTTAAATAATTTAAAGGTTAAATCTGAGATCAAATTTTAAACATTTTTAATTTCCCTAGTTATTAATACTTAATGATATCTTCCTCAAATAATAATTCAAATTTTTTATATTTAGTTATATGAATAATAATATTTAATAAATATAAATCTCAATAAATGTTTATAGTTTTCTTCTGCTTCAATAAAACGCCTCCAATAGCTATTGATAAGCTGCAGTGCCAAAATAATTGTTATCATGGGGATTGGTTCCTATTTTATTTGTAATAAAAGGAAGTATACATTTCGAACCGATTTCCGTTTTTGCTTACCACTTGTTAAAGCATTTAAATTTGGTTGAATAAAAGTTTTTGAAATATTTTAAATTCTAATTATGAATACAAAATCCTTTTTTAGCCATCATTTCAAATCATTTAAAAATTAGATAGGTTGATAATGTTGATAAAAAAATTATTTGCGAAATCTGTTGCTTGATTAAGCACAAGGTTAATGCATTTGACCCTCTTAATAATTGACCATCTTTTATTAAAGAGAGCGATTACCTTTGTTTTAATTATACCTTCTAAAAATATTTTTCATGTATAATCAAAATTGCAATATACTACATTTTACAACTTATATGAAAATATAAATAGTGTTTGTTTAGTATGTCTTTATAATGTGCCCACTTTTAATTTGTGTGTGTGCGATAACCTTAATGCAGTATCATAACTGTAAACCAATTATCCATGGTTACATTGCAACCTGAACCAAATATAAGAAGAATTAATCCATTAACTACATCTATTGCTTACTTATTTTATATTGCCCCTCTGGTTGATGTAATAGTATCAATTAACCTCAAAAGGCAATTAATAATATGATAAATTGTATTCAAATATATTGATAATTGATCTATTTACATTTGTAACTGAACTAATACATCAATTAATTAACAATATATTTGAATACAATTTATCATATTATTAATTGCCTTTTGAGGTTAATTGATTCTATTACAATTTTCAGTATATATTTCTAGATTTAGAGTGTAGTATGTTTTGGCATTCACCAAAGAGTATAGTTTTATGCCATATTTTGATGAATTATTTGGCATGTACTGTTTGAATGGGCATTTATCACGAGATGTTGGAAGCATTTTTAAAGTTGTATATTCTGGAATTGTAAATTATCTGGAGCAGTTATCAATAAAAACTTAAAATATTTCTAATATGAGTTGCTTTGTTTATCATTTTTCTCTCTTCTCCTGTAACATGTCATAAAATCTCATTGTATGAATTAGAAATCGTTTTTTTTAGTGGCATAGTTGCTCTAAATATCTCAATTCTAAACCCATCAGATTTCTATAAATCTGACATATTCTGATAATTAGATTTAAATATTCTAGCTAGATAATGAATTCCCAATAATCCCTTGAATTATGTTACATCAACTTCTTTAGTATAACTTTCATATTGGTTAGTATAGCTTTTACCTATAATTTTAATTTTTTCATTAGTATGATAAATAATATCTTCAATCTTTGATGTTATGAACAAGCCAAAATATTTTTCTGGAGTGTCTGCCCTTCCCCATATTCTTTTACTCCTACCAGATGAATAACTAAATTTTGTTGACGAGTTCTTATTCTTTGATTAAGAAAATCCTTTTCCATTTAGTAACCTTATTTTTAGCTAATTTTAAAGAGAAATATATTATGATAAATATTTACCTAAATAATATTTAACATGTTTCAACTAACATATCTTCTTCATCTAATTCAGATTGTGTATCATGATCAATATCCAGACTTGTTGATCGATCCTTTTAAAAGGATCGAAACCCGATTACCATCTTTTTTAAAAAAGGGATCGAAATCCATGATAAAAGAGTATCATGATCACTATACTTTTCTTTTTCTATAAATTTCTGAAAAAAATATGCTATCATTTAAAATCATTTTAATAGAATTCATGCCTTAAAAAGTTTGAGATTAAACAATACATAGTGAAAATTTTCATTTTTCGCACCTTTGAGGCTCTCTCTCCCGAGAACCAGGTGTGCTAGAGATCTAAGATAAACCTTTTTCTTATTTTTTTACCGATCTAAATAATTCCAAAATTTTTTAACCATAAGAGGTTGGTCTAAAATAGGCTGATCGATTTGGCATGGATGGCGCAGAAATTCAAAATATTTTAATAAAAGAAATAAAAATACCTTATTATTTGTAATTTAGCAACAAAATGTTAAACCACAATTTGTAGTTTCATATAGCGCCATCTATTTTATGCAAATAAAAATTTTAATTTTTGAAAATGCATATTTTGGAAGAACCGATAGCGTCGACAAAGTTTTCACATCGTATATATATTTATAAATGGTGTCTAAATCAAAGGCAAAAGAAATTTTCGAAAACCAACTCCCTTTATTGCTTAAAAACACGGGTAAAGTAGTGCTGTAAACATTTTTAAAAAAATCGAACGCGTTCAACGTTCATATCGAACGCGTTTACGTTCAAATTCAAAAAAAGGAACGCGTTCAAGTTCATGCGTTCAAAATTTTATGATAAATTTTTTATTTAATTTAATATAAATAAATGCCTTATATTTTTCAACACAATATATTAGCCATGATAAAAAATAATAGTTTTATTTTGATAATATAATTATAAATACAATATATAATAGAGCGATAAAAAAATAAATTTATAAAAAAAATTTCTTATTAATTTTTAATAATAATTGCTTTTCAAAATTTTCATCTGATAGACGTGAACGCTTGGCAGTTAATACAGCGTTAGCTTTACTAAAAACTATTGAATTACCATTTGATTTTAAAACAGTGAAATATTTATGATATTTGGGCCATGGTAATTCTAATTCATCTAATATTAAATTTTGATTTTCAGAATCTGATGATGAAATATTTATATCCATGCAATTAATAAACTTTAATCTTATCTTCTCTAGCAGTAGCACGTTATGGTACGTTAATTGCAATATGAAAGAGGAAAAAGTAAAAACAGCTGATTAAAAAATATAAGACTTTTTTGTTAAAAAATTGGATTAAATATTAATTTTTCAAATAAATAAAAATATAAGACTTTTTTGTTAAAAAATGCGGATTAATATTAATTTTTCAAATAAATAAAAATAAAAAGTGTTTTTAAAATTGAACGAACGTAAAATTGAACGCGTTCATCAAAGAAAAGGAATGCGTTCACGTTCAAAGTTCGTCAAAAAAAAGGAACGCCGTTCATCACCTTTTTTCAAAAAAACGAAGAACGCGTTCGTTTACAACACTAGGGTAAAGCATATAGGTAAACCGGAAGTTAAAGACTCAAATTGGCGTTTATTTTTTTCTTATGATAGACCTTTAGAGATTTTTTTTACCTACAATTTGATATATTAAATTTATTCTTACTATAAATAGTTTTTAGGATATGAGCATTTTAAAAATTTTACAGATTTAAAACTATTATTCGCACCTTTGAATAGTGCTGTTAAATGGCCCGATTAAGATTTTAGACAAAATAATACTATACAAGCGCTGAGATCTTGCTGATAGCCGGTAGAAGGGTTTAGACCTCTATTTGAAAAACCTCAAGACTTGCACAATATTATTTTGGTTAAAATCTTAATCGGGCAGTTAACACTATCTTTGAGATCTCGGGAACCACGTGTGCTAGCGAATTAAAATAAACGGCTTTCTCATTTTTTTACTTATCATTCCAGAAATTATTAAAAGGGATCGGTCGAAAATGTGATTTTTTGGTCGATTTGACATTATATAATATATAAATTATTTATTATGAAAGAATTAACTAATAGTATAATCATTGTGAACACTCTTTTTAAAAGTAGCTAGCTCCCGCTTCCGCTTATACCATCTCAAAAGGAGCTAGCTCCCTCTACCGTTTCTAAATTAAGCTAGCTCCCTCTCCAAGTAATGGAGTGTCATTCCATAGCCGCATGGAATAAAGAAATTATGTCTACTAATATGGCAGATAATATTTTCAAAAATTGGGTAGGTATCTGATATGCCCGAATTCCATGATTTAGTTAGATAAAATATTAAGTGAAAACAAAAAGACCTTGATGAGTTATGTGATAACCATGGGCTTATACGTTATAACTCTCAGAACGTAAATTAAAGAGTATCCAAGTAAATATTAATATAATCGTTATTTTATTGAAATAAATAAATATTAGGTTAACCTTTGGCAAAAGCTCTAAAAATCCTTGAGGGGGAGCTTCGTATGGATATAGGTTTCATAACTCCAACCATTTCTAAACTTCAAAAATAAATGACTTAGCAGATTTAGAGTTATGCCAACCTCTTGTAGCCTCTTATAAGTGGTATAAATAAAAGGTTTATGATAAAAAATAAATTATCTATTTAGATAACTTTATTGCAGATTTTCAATTGTTATTAAATTGGGAATTGATAAAAAATGCACAAAATATGGAACTAAAATAGAAATTAATTAATTTTTTTAAAAAACAATTACCCATGCAAAAATACCTGTTAGTTCACGGGAACCCTGCAATGATTTGGAAGATTTTTTTGGATTCCATGAAATTGATCATCAGGAAAATAATATATT